TTGCAGAGATGATGATGCTTTGGTGGATGAGTGGCTTGACCCTTAGAGATAGGATACGAAATGAGCATATACGTGAAAGGTTGGAGTAGCTCCAATGGAAGATAAGATTAGAGAGAGCCGCCTTAGATGGTTTGGTCACATTAAACGAAGGCCTTTCGATGACCCAGTTAGGAAAGTTGAGGTATTAGATTTGACTTATGTTAAGAAAGGTCGAGGTAGAACTAAAAAGACTTGGTTAGAAAATATTAGAAATGATCTTTCTTTATTAGATTTAAATGAGAATTTGACTTTTAACCGGACACAATGGCGAAAAAGGATTCATGTAGCCAACCCCACGTAGTGGGACAAAGGCTTGATGTTGTTGTTGTTGTTATACACTAAGATACAATTGAAATCTCACCATGACTATTCAATTGAGTGCTTGTCATTTAACAATTGAAATGCCTTTACATGGAGATTTTTATTTCATCCATCCTATATGTCAGTTATTTTATTGTTGTTGATCTTGCAGCTACCGACCTGTAAGGCATCTTTTAATACCTATTCCTTGAACACGATCACTTTGAGTTTTAACGTAGATGTCACACAAAATCTATTAGTAACAGTAGGGAAAACTTTTTCAAATGCAAGTTTTCAATTTGTCTAATGTGAAGGCGGAACCATGCTGATTTTCAAATATGTCCAGATCTGTACCAAGCAGACCTAAAAACTAGCCCTAGTTCTTTTTTCTCCGACTACTAACCATGCAATAGGGAAGCTTTTTCTGTCTAGTGTAACTACTGCTAAGAGTTACCCCTTTACTGGCCATTTAAAAAACATACATTCACCCGGGCAACTTGTCTACAACTTTTGCCTTGACACCAAAATAAATATGTAACCTAAGTACCTAACAAATGCTTTCCTACCTTTGATTCCAGCCCTTTGCTAGTTTGAATAGAAATAGTGTACCGTGGTTTTTTCTTTGCAATTTCAAGGCTATAATTTTATAATTGTTTGAATTGGTCATCTTGTTTTAGCTGAACCAATTAAGTGCCTTTTGCACAGCCTTTCTTCTTGTGATTTGAATACTTGAAACTTTAATTCATCCATCCCTTTCCTCCCAAAAACCTCATCGATCAACTTTTGATTTACCCTAGTCTTGTTCACAAATTTCTTAGCTATGAGTGAAGAGTTTAAGAACTTATTATGATAATGTCATGAACAAGAATGCTCCTATGATGATCTAATCTCCCTTGAGTTGTCTCCCATATGCTTGGAAACAGATCTGAAGTATGGACGGTTAAGTCTTCTACATATGAGTTTTGCACCTTTTCATTTTTCATAAATTTCAATATTTATCCCTGTAAAATTGACATATTTTGTACAACTTTTTTGAAAGTTGAAACCCTCTTTTGTGCCAAGGAGCATACCTATTTAAAGATTAGGATTATCAATATCTGACTTAAGTTTGATGACAGGGCGCTTCACCTTATTATTCTTATCACTATCATACGCTTTTGCATCATCACTAGAGTCCATACACTATATTTTCTCATCAAAATTTCATCAGTGTATTTATTGCTATCAATAATCATTTTGTTGCTCTTATCTTGAGTACTTGTGAACCCAGTAGAAGGATCTCCAATCTTTTCTAAAAAAAAAAGTCCCACCTCATATTGATTATTTATTAAAATTTTATAATAATTTTCTGTTCATCATATTAATAATTGCCTTTATCATCATCATCGTTACTATTCTTATTTACCTCTATAGCGCCACCATTATCTCTTTTTGTTTCCAAATAATTTTTATATTAAATCACCAAATTGCTATGATAAACTCGGTTCTTCAAGCCATTTTAGAATTATATCATATAGACTCTCATTATCATTCCTAATGTCCCCTACTCAACTTACCAACTATTTCATTTCTAAATTGTGTTCTTATGCTTTGTGATGAAATCCAATTTGTAAAGAGAATGGTAAACTTGACGATAATTTAGAACAATCAAATGCAGAATAATGTGGTCATAAACACGCTATAAATCCCTAGTAAATTGTGAAAAGCTCGCCTTTTTTCTAATATAAAAAGCATAATGCCAAAGAGACTTACTGTATGGTGTAGAAATTTTCCCAAATTATCTCCAACTTATAAGCTGTTGAGTACTGATGAGGTTTCCTATTGATGTTTTGGTGTCGCTAATTGTCAAAGACAACTTCTGGATGATTTCCCCTTTGTCATGTTCGTCATATGCGTTCTGCTCTCTAAATTGTAAATGTCCTTTCCGGGTTCATGACCACTAAAGTTTTTGTATCTACAAGCATAACAACTCCAATAACCCATCAAAGAATGATTTTGGGGCGCCAGTTTGCCATCGACTACAACTTCAATTCAGTAAATTGAACCCATTTTCTTCACTCATTAGTTGTCGCCAACCTCAAATTCACGAAGGAGTAAGTTTTGCCCTAGGCTCAACTTTTTATCAACAAATGCTCTCTGTTCTTGCAAGCAATATCTCATCCAGAAGAAGCTTAGGCTTTCTCAAATTGTCTTTCCATTATGGCCAGTTCACTTAGGCACTATAGAGTCACTTAGGGCATTTATTTACCCTAAGAAGTCTAAAGTACCCTCATGGAAAGCAACCTATCATAGGTTAACATTCATTGCAAATGGGAAAGCTGATGAAAATGCCAAAATTATTTAGATTTAATGAGTTGAGAGATTAAATTGAATACATGAAAAAGTTTGAGACTAAAATGAACATGCCTACAAACTTTGGGGTTCATTTTGATGATTTTCTCTTTAGAAAATGTTTTTTTTTTTTTTACACATTTGATTATGAAAATGAAATCATTTTTGGACTTTTAAGAAGGTTTATGGAATTTGAAATCAATTTTGGTGTCTATTTACATCCAACCAAATTATGGTTTTGACAAACTTCATACTTAATAAAAAAGATTTCTAACTTAAAACAACCAAGTGAACCCTAAATGGAATTCCATCAACCGATCTCTCTTTTTGAGGGGTCAT